TGTAAATATTCTGATTACCACTATTAGGGTACTGTAAATATTCTGATTACCACTATTAGGGTACTGTAAATATTCTGATTACCACTATTAGGGTACTGTAAATCCATGTACATCAGAATTGTCTTTGAGTTGTAGAAAAATTTAACAAAATGCATTGCACAAGATTTGTTCCATATAAGCAATGACTAAAGATATTAGGCAAAGAAATTATGCAGAGGCTATTAAGCTAGACACTAAGTAATGCACTGTATAAATGACAATTACAATGGTGTTTTTAATATGCCAAAAAATATGTGCAGATTCTATAGAAATGAGGCCAAGAAGATGGCTTTTAAAAAACTTCATATTTCAAGCATTTTTTCTTCTTTGAGCACCAAGTTCTTTTTTTCGTAAAATGAATGCTTCCTCCTTGCTAGCATCATCCAGCAGTGGGGCAACCTTTACCTCCCATTACTGGGGACAGATTCTATGACTAAACAATGGCTGCTGTATGTCCTGCCCAGTCATCCAAATTCAATTCAATTAAAAAAAGTTTATTTTTGTGAGAGAGGACTGTTACTAGAGCACCACTGTTAATACATATTACACATGTCCACATTGCATAGAGCTGTTTAAGACTTCTATTGTTGACTTCACTGTATTCCTGGTTCTATCCACTTCCAGCATATGTGGGATTTTTAAATGTGGATGTTGCCTGTTTGTAGATGGGGTTTTCTCCCTAAACAAGTAAATAAGATAGAAACGGTTCAACGGTTATAAACTCATTCAATAAAATTCAAGTTGCAACCCTATTTAAAATAAATTGATTGCCTACTTGATATGTATAGTTCAGGTGAAAGTGCATTTAATCTATTTAGGTAAATATCCATATCTTAGCGATCACTTTATTCTTCATTACTTACCGTGTCCCATCTAGCATTTAACCTCTCCTTCTCAAACTTGGCAAACTCTCTCCTGTCATGTATTGTGGTGAGAACCTTCCACACCAGTAGCAGTGCCAGTCCTATCAGCACAATACCCGCTATCACTCCTATCACTATCCACATCACATTCACTGGGGTGGGGCACACTGAAATTGAAAGTAATGGCAGTAAGTTTAATTGTATACAGTACACAATGTATGCTCTGAATATGAAAGTAATGGCAGTCAGTATAATCGTATATAGTACACACTACAACAGAAGGACAAAACTGAGCTAAGGGCACACTGTAATAAAAGTAATGGCACTAAGCATTAAATGTGTGTAAAACTATTGTTATGTATGCTGTGTGTTAGATCTTCCTGTCACATTGCAAATTAATGAAGAAAAAAATATTCCTGGACTGGCACACTGAAATAAAAGTAATGGCATTTGGCATAATTTTCATTGTGCTGTCACACCTGTCACAATGCAAAAAATGCATTCATAAAATAAAAGAACTGAAATAAAAGTAATAGCAGCAGACAGATATGACATTTCCAATACCACACTTATCAAATGTTACACGAGAAAACCATATTTATACCATCAGTAAATCTTTGGGATAAAGTACTTCAAACTATACCTCTCAGCATTTAGTCATCAGCAAACAGAATGTACAGTATCTTCCTAAAAAACCTTTAAGTTCCTTCCTTCCTAACCCTTTTCATTCCAGACTCCACAGTAACTGTCAAAATTCAATTGGGTTACCATAATGACCAGTAACCAGGTAGATGTCTATAATACTTAGCTTTTCTGCAAACCAGAACTTTCGAAAATAATTTTGGCCTTGAAGCAAAAATTTACAAATGGATTCTCGCACCCTGTTCCCCTCAAAATGACCTTACACCCCAGAACTAATTGATGCTTGTCCAGGTGCTGACTTTATTTCAAAATAAGATGCAATGCACTTTCTTCCTTCTTTTGTTTCAAAAGGATCAACAAAAGGACTCTTTCCAACTAAAATACTGGACTGACATAAATTTTTTCAAATGTATATAAAAATGCTTGTTTACCCTGTTTTCTCACAAAATCAGCATAATCTTTGGCTATCCAAGAAACACAAACTGCATCATACCAGTGCCTCTCTAAACCAAGATTACAAGCATAACTCCAACAGGTGCCTCTCAGACTAGCAGGCACCAGTATGCTGGATACTCAGAACCTTACTCAAAACTTCCACGTCAACCATCTTTGCTGTTACCTCTGAAGACCACTGGCAACAAGGAGCATTTTCCATCAAAATCATATGATAGTTTTTTCAAACCAGTTTTTGCACATCAATAATTCAGTGGCCAAAGTGACCCCTTTAGAAGATAAGGTCACAGGTGTTATAATTGTGGTGATCTCTACCTGTACTTTAGAGTGCATTAAACAGTGTCTGAACCAGTATTTGGAAAGGTCGGAGTGTAAAGGTGAAATCTACTTTAGGAATTTTTCACTCCACGACAATCTGGGAAGAACTTTTTTGAGATATCCTGCTCACTTACAAACAGAAAAACAGGTGCTAATGAAAACATGACCTTCCTCATTGGCGTGGGTAAATTAGGAGGGAAAAGCCTCACCTTTAGTATTCTGGGCCTTGATGATGACTTGGTTGTTGGCGTCGTATTCGTAGGTGAAGAAAAACTGGCAGTCATCGTCATCCTTAAACTGGCAAAGTTTGGCCTCTGCCGTTTCTGTAATAAGACACACTGATACATAACCACAAGAAAACTTATCTAAAGCATTGGTTTTAATAGGAAAATTTGTGAAAAAATTTTAAATTTCTGTAGCCACTGCCCATTCAAAGCTACACCTGCAGAAAACTAGACTCTTACAGTAATAATGATAATATAATAACATACATCTAAATATTTGGTAGTCAACATCAGATTCACAAATCGGTGTTATTCAACTTTAAATATGGCAACCTTTTCTTTTGTTAAATATTTGAGAGAGGAGACCCAAAATTCAGAACTGGTGTTCGGGGAAGAGACTGCTATTTAGTGAAAAAGTCAGGGCGCAGCATTTCCAACTCCCAAAAAGTCAGAAATCTTAAATCCTCTCATTCCTGTAGTGTTGCAGGGGCTTGGGGGGGGGGGGGGGTAGCCAAAAACATTAAATATTTTCCAGATATCTCAACATAATAAACCCACCTTCCACATTATCCTGCATGGTAATCTCAGGGCACTTGGCCTTACACTCCTCTTGAGACAGAGGTCCCGACTCAAACGCTCGGCACTGAACACATGCCTTGTTGTCATTACACTTCCCCGTGCAAGTCTGGAGGTGAGAGAAACATTATGATAATGTTACAGCTGGCAAATCAAGCAAAAGGCAGGTGTTTTATGATGTTTTATTAAAACAGTTTTGAGTTCAGTTGTGGAGATTTCAGGCCAAGCAAGCGTTTTATTATCTTCATATATCAAGAGCTAATTTGTTTTATGACAGCTGATACATGTAATGCACTTACAAACTTTTCTGCCCAAAAAACAACTGTTTCTGACGTAAGCCTGAGAGGCGAGATATGACACTGTGTCTTGTGTGACATTGTTTCACATGTGACAGAAAGATGCACTACTCACAGGACAATCTTCACAAGTAGGTCCTCTGTAAAATGACTCCAGATCACATTTGCATTTGCCACATTCACACCTTCCACGGCCATTGCACAGCTCCTGAAAAAATCAATCAACTTTCTTATTCAATTTCAATTTTATTCAACAGCAATACTCATATATATGCAGTATATGTGTGTGTGTCCGTTTGCGCATGCATGTATACATCTATGTTTGTTATAATGTGTGTGTGTGTGTGTGTGTTTGTTTGTGAGTTGGCATGTAAGTGTTGTAACATGTAAAACAAGATATTTATTTATTTATCACTAGTCATGATAATTATAGCATTACAAACTAGAGCTGATTTTCTCCAATGTGAAAAAAGGACGATTCTGAAAGCACACGGCTGCTGGACGTACCCCATTGGAGGCCTTACAGCTGTCCTGACTGGTTGGACACTCACAGGCTGACCCATTGTAACCCTGGGAGCAAATACACTGACCACAGTTACACGTCCCGCGACCTGGAGGTACAAAATATTCATGTCAGAATTTATCAAAAATATAATTATAACTCTGATATTTAATTGCCATTTATTATCTATTATAATTATTATTATCATTGCATTTATTGTTTCATCATAATAATTTCTTGCAACTGAAAACTGTATGAAAATGCATCAAGGAACCTATAGCTAGTTATTATATTATCATCTAGTTCTATTTTGTATTTTTTATTCCACTTCAACTTCACAGCAAACTATGCCGAGTTAACATATTGTATTATTTTAATTTCATTTTCTTCTATCGAAATAAAATATATCAAAGTTTAAGTAACATAAGAAGGGGATAATTAAAATCAAGAAAATATGCCCTTACCTCCACACAACTCCTTGTTGTGTCGCGGGCAGTCATAGTCGTAGCATTCACAGAACGTGCCGCTGAATTTCTGCTGGGATCCTCTGGTCCTTGCGCTACAATAGCACTTCCCACACAGACACTCTCCACGACCAGAGCAGGTGAGGGAATCATTGGTCCTGAAGTACAAAATTACATGTCAAAGCAACAGAAATCATTAACAATAAAATTCAGTAGAACGCGTTAATTAGTAAGTCTTGAGATGGAGAAAAATGGAAAAAAAAAAAATGCAAGAGCACATTATAGCACGGAAACACTGCCCATTCTCTTTCTGGATCTTTTAAACTTTACTCAATGACAAAAAACTCACATTTTACAAGCAGCATCATAATCCTCACTCTGGAGATTGGTGCCGTCACATTCACAGAATTTTCCGTAGCGTTTTTCATCACACGTGCACATGCCGCATTCTAAGGTCCCATGGTACGAGCACTCTGATGCATTTCTTTTCTGTTGGCAGAAAAAAATCAATTTACAGGAACAAAAACTTTTAAGCCAAAAAAATTTATACAACTGGTCCTCTTTGCCACAAGCTTCCAGAAATGTTGTTCCTCAAAGCAGATACATAGGAAAGCAATTGAATTAATTTACAAAATGTGGCTACTCAGAAATACAACTGTACTGTAACCCCCTTGGCCCAATACTATCATAAGTTCATAATATTCAATTCATTCTCAATTTGAATCTTACCCCTGTCTCTTTCTTATGCAGCAGTGAAATAAAATAGAAAAACTAATAAATGATCTCAGAAATGAAAGTGAAGGTTTCAAAAAATACCCTGAAAACGTTGGTACCAAAGACCTGCTGTTCTATATGGGGGATTTTGAGGGCAAAAATAAAACGCCTAAAAATCAGAATTCCCAGATAAATCTGAGACTTTCATCTCTATGGTCTAACTGGCACAAATGGACATCTGTAACACTACAAAATCACCAGCAAAGTGACGTTAGGACTACCACAAAGAGCACCACTAAATTCTGTCTCCTTCTGCAGCACCGACTCACCTCGTTGGCTGTTTTCTCACAGTCACACTCACAAATGAGGTCAATCTGGAGAGTTAACTGGTCTGTCAAACCTATGGGAGAGATGGTGATGTTCCTCACTCTCTGCTGGTGGTCAACGGGACAAGACTTGACCTCTACGGTGACCTCGAATGTTACCTACAAGATGAATGTTGACATTAAGGCACTGTCATGGGTACGTAGAAATTTTAACAAGGAAATGTACAATTAGATTTTAATTTTTGAATCATCCAATTGTATTTATCAATAGTCATCTGTACGTGCACCTATTTTATATTTTCTGATGTGCTTTTTATAAACAAATGCACAAAATTCAACAAATATTGGCAACATTTGTTTCCATACATTTCAGTCAATCGAGTGACACTGTGTTAAACATATATCCTCTTTAACTACAAAGACACATAGTCAGACTCAACACAAAGAGGAAATACCACGTACTAGATGGTTTTGCCGAAATTTATTCTGTGAATTTTATTGCTTCCATGATATTTTTGAGAAATTAAAACAAGGATGTGCATTCTTTCAACAAATTCTTTGATTTGTATAACATTTATAAAAAATATTTTGTTGATCAGGGATTTTTTATTTTACTTACTTCATCTCCAATTTTCATACCATCACAGGAAGATGTGTCCCTGGTGATGTTTCTGAAATGAAATTACAAAAAACATTGTCCATTACTAGGTATAATAATTATACTTTCAAATTACTGTACAAATTAAATTTATACAAGTCCTCTGTAATATTCATCTTTTTTATTGATTATAAAATTAACTGAGGGCAAATAATGAAGAAGAAAACATCAGTTTACCATTAAATTTAAGTAAAGGAGACACATCAGAATTTCCATGTCTTAAAATCTTTCTGAGCAGATTTTATTCTGTTGCCCTACCCCTATCATTAGCTGATATTGTTAACAAATTGACAAAAAGTTACATTATTTGCATCTTGAAAGTTCATAACTTGGGCTCACCCTAGCTCAATACAATAATTCCCACCCTCAGATCTTTGAAAAGTCAAAAATCTAATGTTGGTAACTTGGGGCTCACTATGTAGCAGCATAACTGATACCCAAACTGGGATATTATAAATGTCAAAAATGTTATGTCCATAACTTAGAGTCACCCTGTATTAAAGTATCCCATTTTAAAATGCTACCCACCCCTGAAATTTGACATGAAGTTACATTATTTGCGTCTTGAAAGTACATAACTTGGGGTCACCCTGTACCAACATAACTGATACCCACTCTCTGATCTTTTAGATGTCAAAAGTGTAATGTCCATAACTTGGGGTCACCCTGTATTTAAGTACCCCATTTTAAACTGCTACCCACCCCTGACATTTGGACCTGAAGCTGACAGATATATTCTCCATACTACTGGCCACCAACTCCAGCTTGGAAGTGATCAGCTGAAACATTCAAATATAAAATAGAATACCATGAGATCAAGAATGCTAGACATCATCTGCATTGTCTATCTCACCTTTTAAAATCCATTGTCCTTTTCCACTTTAAAATGAATGCAGTTCTTTATATAAAGATCTACTTTTTTTATTATTTATGTTAGCCTTTTAAACATGTATGTCCTTTTTCAATAGTAAAACCTTTGCAATGGTGAGAAACATTTAATTTAGTGTTAACTACATTGCAAACATTTAAACTGTGATCAATAAAGAATCTCATCAGCTATGATATAAACATAGTTGCTAATCTAAGAGTAGTTTCTTCAAAACAAGAACTATTTCACTTCAGACGAAAAAGGCTGGAATACCAACTGTAACCATTACCTGAGACTGATGATAAAAGCATTTAGAGACACAAAAATATAGAAATTCTGTTGCTTTGAAGAAACTATCACAGAAGCTGAATGTGTAAGAGAACTGAAATTATTTTCTGGAAAATTCACCAGCAAGCATTATTCATAGCACCATATGGTTAAGCAAAGTAAATTATCTTACATCATAATTCCGCTGAATAAGATCCACAATATTGCTGGAATCATCCGCCAGTTCTCCTGTGCTGGAACCCTCAATGAGATCACTTAGTTTTTCGTAGATTGCTTTCTGCTCAGCTGTGACTGCAAATATCAGGTTCATCTTGTTCTCTGATAGCTTGCTGCGTATCTGACTGATGGATGGGTAATCCTAGAAATGTCGCGTGACATGGTTAACAAACATGAACATGTGACAATAAAAGGACAGGAATTATTGTGAATGATAATTGCCAGTGCCACATTTGCTGTAGCTTTGTCTTTGTTGTTTGTTGCTCTCCACTGAGGTGTAAATGGCAAAAACTGGCAATTATCAGATTTCAACCCATTGCAAACTTAATACAGTGTCACTCAAGGGATACAAGTTGCAATAAATATATATCATTATGACAGGGTTTTAAATTCAAATCAGGATAAAAGCTGTCTCTTACCAAAAGAGTGCTGTGAGTGTATGTCCCCGTGCCATCAAGGTGACACTGGCCATCATTGGGGGTGACAATACCTCCTAGCTGGAATACAGAGAAATAAACACTTCTTAAAACACACATTAAAACAAGTGGTAGCCACTAAATCAGAATCTTAATCTATTTCCATCTACATAGGGCACTGGAAGCAACCTTTCATGATAAAAATAATGTAAAAATAATGCATTTTTTCATCAGTCCTTTTTGATGTCAAGACATTCAGTCATAATATCTGCAGCTATGCTTCTCTATGAAGATGTGGTGAATCTCTCTGTCTCTCTTTCTTCTATTTACATTTTTTTTTATTTCTTGACTTTTTTTATATTATGATGCCATAGTTGAAGGGTGGCAATACAAAATGAGTAACTGAAATGCAACTGTAAGATGTTTTTATTTTGAAAATGTAAATATGTCTAAAAACAAAAAGATTTCACTCACTGTGAGAAAGATTAATTTGATACCTTTTTTGGTTGAACAGACTGAAAATTCTTTGAAAATAGGCTGTTTTACACTGTAGATGGCACACTCTGTTTATTAAGTTACTTCAGGTATAATACTTTGCAGTAAAAAGGTATCAGTACTTCTTTTTCTTAACTCAACATTCACAGTCACTTTCTTATTTTAAATTTAATAATTTTTTTTTTTAAATTGTTTTCTCAATTTCCATCTTTAAGATAACACACCATCCGAAGAAGTTAAGATCTCACACAGCATTTTTAACACCTGTAACATAATAACCAAAAATATCCCCAATACGAGAACAGCCATAATACCTTTCCATCCCCAGCGTAGTGGAAAGTAGCATCTGTAGAAAATAACAGCATCTTCCTGGACTGGTCTCTCCAGCCAATCTGCTCCTAGAACACAATGTATAACAACATGCTTTAATAACAAGACAACTTACAGGTAAAACTATACCACGACCATGGAAGACCACGTGCAAGTGCATCAGACTGCGTAATTTACAAGAGATGAAAGTGGTTCATTAAAACTGCATTATCGCATTTGGTTGCGGTCTTAAGTCATGAAATCACGCATCATATATCGTAATACAGCATTATATATTGAAAACTCAATTATACCAATGTAGGGAGTACACCAACCTTGCACACTGTGGCCTGCATGATGGCATCGAAGCCTCCTTCTGGAGAATCCAAGTTACCAGATACTGGAGCCCTCTGTACCTCACCCTGAAAGACAGAAATAATATAATATATACAGGTTACCAGATACTGGAGCTCTCTGTACCTCACCCTGGAACAGAGAAATAATATAATATATACAGGTTACCAGATACTGGAGCTCTCTGTACCTGACCCTGGAACAGAGAAATAATAGAATATATACAGGTTACCAGATACTGGAGCTCTCTGTACCTCAACCTGGAACAGAGAAATAATATAATATATACAGGTTACCAGATACTGGAGCTCTCTGTACCTCACCCTGGAACAGAGAAATAATATAATATATACAGGTTACCAGATACTGGAGCTCTCTGTACCTCACCCTAGAAGACAGAAATAATATAATATAATATTTACATGCTCTCTTAAAGAATGATGGGTCTTCTATATACCAAAACAGATGGCAACTTCAGAAGAAAATCTAAATTCATTGTAGATTGTGTCAGAAAAAGTTATCTCTGATTTTTACAAAAGCATGATATGATATCCATGATTAACTGCCTGTTTTGGTTCTCTCTCTCTCTCTCTCTCTCTCTCTAACTCTTTATCAAATAACAGAGTACTTACAGCAAACAGGGAAGTATTCACAGTCAAGGGTAGTTGGTTTTTAAACCCATAGGGGGCAGCACATCCATCACATGGAGAAATGAGCCTGGAAAAGCATAACAATACTGATATAATGATTTCTCATATCTTATAAATCTGGAATATTTTTGATCTGCCAAGAAATCCAATTCATAAATCTCAGTTATGGAAATTCCTGATAACTTCTGGCCAAATGCCAAGTAACAAGGAAGTCCTGCTGGCAGTTATGATGAAATTTGTGCATTTGTTAACTCAAATGGACCTCCAGGGGCGAATTTAGGCTGTCTTCTGGGTCTTCCGGAAGACGGTCAGATTTTCAAGTTTACATTGACGGGTATCTAATATTTTCTGTCAGAAGACGGTCAGAAACAGAGGATGGATCAACAAATACCCCATTTACACTAGCACTTTTAACCGCAGTCAAGGCCTGACCTTGGTCCTATCGCGGTTAACTTTTCTAATGTGAACGGACGACGTAGCCCTGACCGCGGTCGAAATAAACCCAGATCGGGAGGTGGGTACTGTAATTGGAGTAAACTCCTGACCACGGTCAAGACCGGATGTCTACATATGAAGCGCACGCGCACAAGTGTATCGTCACTTGAGCTCCTGCCAATTTGCACAGATTCTAGTAAGAGCGCATGCTTGACAAGAAGTACGCTTGCTGAGATTCTACCGCTACTGATCGCTGCCGGTGTCAGTGTGAACGCAGTATGGACGCGGTTTGGTTGACCGCGGTTTAATCGGAGTAAACTCGACCGCGGTTAACGTTCTAATGTGCATGGCCTAAAAGACAATTTGGAAGACTGTCAGAAAACATCTCTGGATCCGCCCCTGACCCCTTATAACTTTCAACTCCCCACTACCGCATGAGCATAATGTTTTGTCAATTAGTACACTTCCTGAATTTTTTTTCATTATTATTTTTTAACCCCCCATTCAACAGTTATATTCAACAGAATATTTAGCAAATGGACAATGGCCCCAATACCAGTGAATGATTATGTTTCAGAAAAATATTCGGGTCTGCAATATCTGGGCAGGGCCTGCAATGTAATACACCTAGATTTCAGCATGCCCTGGGACCTGCAATATGTAATTTGACATCACCACTTCAAATCTTACTTTGCCGGCACAGTGCTAATCCAGGGCATGGTGACTTTGTCTACAAATGATCCAAACCCTAGACGGAAGTTTTTTGTGATGTTGCTCATACGGTCAGCTGAAATAGAAAAACATAATTATCTAAATATTATTATAATTAAGTAGGAAGATTTTAACTATATCAGGGGTCTCCTAGTAACTCATTTTGCTTTGTGTACAGTAACTGTCAGGGGCGGATTGACGGAACACGGTCAAAAATGGAGGATGAATCAACAAAGATAATTTGGAAGACTGACAGAAAATAACTCTGAATCCACCCCTGACTGTAAGTTATTACTCTTTCACTTTAGATTACTCCTAGATTTCTTTAATATTGATTACTAGATTTTATTGAAGGCATTGCAAAGGAAGGGGGGGGGGGCAAACGAAGAATGTTTGCACCCCATTATCTTTCTCTCTCTACCCCTCCCCAACTCACCCCCAAAAAGAGGGAAAATGGCAAAAATTTAAAGTGAAATTCTCCTTTTTTAATGTAGTAAACTTTTCTGAGCAAAGGGAGACAAAACATTCGTTCCCTGAGCCCTCCCCCTCCCCACACTTAACAATCTTCCCCATTTTGTTTGCATTGAAAATTATGTACAGCTTANCTCTGTACCTCACCCTGGAAGACAGAAATAATATAATATAATATTTACATGCTCTCTTAAAGAATGATGGGTTTTCTATATACCAAAACAGATGGCAACTTCAGAAGAAAATCAAAATTCATTGTAGATTGTGTCAGAAAAAGTTGTCTCTGATTTTTACAAAAGCATGATATGATATCCATGATTAACTGCCTGTTTTGGTTCTCTCTCTCTCTCTCTCTCTCTCTCTCTCTCTCTCTCTCTCTCTCTCTCTCTCTAACTCTTTATCAAATAACAGAGTACTTACAGCAAACAGGGAAGTATTCACAGTCAAGGGTAGTTGGTTTTTAAACCCATAGGGGGCAGCACATCCATCACATGGAGAAATGAGCCTGGAAAAGCATAACAATACTGATATAATGATTTCTCATATCTTATAAATCTGGAATATTTTTGATCTGCCAAGAAATCCAATTCATAAATCTCAGTTATGGCAATTCCTGATAACTTCTGGCCAAATGCCAAGCAACAAGGAAGTCCTGCTGGCAGTTATGATGAAATCTGTGCATTTGTTAACTCAAATGGACCTCCAGGGGCGGATATAGGCTGTCTTCTGGGTCTTCCGGAAGACGGTCAGATTTTCAAGTTTACATTGACGGGTATCTAATATTTTCTGTCAGAAGACGGTCAGAAACGGAGGATGGATCAACAAATACCCCATTTACACTAGCACTTTTAACCGCAGTCAAGGCCTGACCTTGGTCCTATCGCGGTTAACTTTTCTAATGTGAAAGGACGAAGTAGCCCTGACCGCGGTCGAAATAAACCCAGATTGGGAGGTGGGTATAATTGGAGTAAACTCCTGACCACAGTCAAGACCGGATGTCTACATATGAAGCGCATGCGCACAAATGTATCGTCACTTGAGCTCTTGCCAATTTGCACAGATTCTAGTAAGAGCGCATGCTTGACAGGAAGTACGCTTGCTGAGATTCTACCGCTACTGATCGCTGCCGGTGTTAGTGTGAACGCAGTATGGACGCGGTTTGGTTGACCGCGGTTTAATCGGAGTAAACTCGACCGCGGTTAACGTTCTAATGTGAATGGCCTAAAAGACAATTTGGAAGACTGTAAGAAAACATCTCTGGATCCGCCCCTGACCCCTTATAACTTTCAACTCCCCACTACCACATGAGCATAATGTTTTGTCAATTAGTACACTTCCTGAATTTTTTTTCATTATTATTTTTTAACCCCCCATTCAACAGTTATATTCAACAGAATATTTAGCAAATGGACAATGGCCCCAATACCAGTGAATGATTGTTTCAGAAAAATATTCGGGTCTGCAATATCTGGGCAGGGCCTGCAATGTAATACACCTAGATTTCAGCAAGCCCTGGGACCTGCAATATGTAATTTGACATCACCACTTCAAATCTTACTTTGCTGGCACAGTGCTAATCCAGGGCATGGTGACTTTGTCTACAAATGATCCAAACCCTAGACGGAAGTTTTTTGTGATGTTGCTCATACGGTCAGCTGAAATAGAAAAACATAATTATCTAAATATTATTATAATTAAGTAGGAAGATTTTAACTATATCAGGGGTCTCCTAGTAACTCATTTTGCTTTGTGTACAGTAACTGTCAGGGGCGGATTGACGGAAGACGGTCAAAAAAGGAGGATGAATCAACAAAGATAATTTGGAAGACTGACAGAAAATAACTCTGAATCCACCCCTGACTGTAAGTTATTACTCTTTCACTTTAGATTACTCCTAGATTTCTTTAATATTGATTACTAGATTCTATTGAAGGCATTGCAAAGGAAGGGGGGGGGGGCAAACGAAGAATGTTTGCACCCCATTATCTTTCTCTCTTTACCCCTCCCCAACTCACCCCCAAAAAGAGGGAAAATGGCAAAAATTTAAAGTGAAATTCTCCTTTTTTAGTGTAGTAAACTTTTCTGAGCAAAGAGAGACAAAACATTCGTTCCCTGAGCCCTCCCCCTCCCCACACTTAACAATCTTCCCCATTTTGTTTGCATTGAAAATTATGTACAGCTTAAACTAATTGAAACTGAGCCAGGAAAAAAAAACACATATAAAAGCTACTGTACTTACATATTTGGTTTCCTAACGCTGCCAGCTTGTCTTTATCATTCTTCATAGACTGAGACAGGTCCATCAAATAATACAAATCCACGGGGTAATCTTCTGCCAGTCGGAACGTAAGCTCAAATGTCACCGGTTTGTCTACAAATAATTGGTTTTAAAAAATGACATTTATATAAAAACAAACATAAGAATATATTTTTTTCTCTCCAATTACAATGAAGAGGATTTGGGCAAAAATAAAAACTTGTGTGGCACAGAGTTAACATGGGACACTGGACACTTTTCATCTTTGTAACTGCAGTGGCCAAAATGTGTGCAGGTCAGTGTTACTGCTGCAGTGGACTCTGCGTCCACACTGATGAATACTAACTTGGTCTGAGGACGAGATTCATGACTTGTGGGGAAAGTTGTATAGGAGGACCAGCCTCGTCTTGATCCTTGGGGGGTTGATTCTGAAATAAATAAATCTGACTGTGAAATCATTAAAGCAATAATAATAATAATAATAATGATAATAATAATAATTGTGAGGGCCAAGCGACAATTATTCCAATCAATTCTCAAAACCAGTTTGGCAGTTCTAGGGTGCCCAACAACACAAACAGACACAAGGTCAGAAAAAATGCAGACACATACAGTGTCAACATGGAAAAAAATTGGAAAAAAAAACTAACCTGAATATAGTCGACCACATTATCTGGGCTGACGATGAAGGTCATATCACAGCCATAGTGGATGAGATTGTCAATTTTGTCACATCTGGAACTCTGTTTCTCCTCCCAGCCCTGAAAAATTACAAAATGTTTATACTTTCAATCTAAAGAATTACGTCAAAATTAATTATGCCATACCACACTTGATACATTTCAGCAGAATATGGTTGATTTGTTTCCTTTTTTTTTAACAAATCAAGCATGGCAGAGGAAACATGGCTCCCAGTGTAGGATTTTAGCATTTGAAATCCCCAGACAGCTGGGAAGTGTAGTACAGTACATATGTTTGCACAGTAGCCTAATTTGTTACTGAATATTATACCTCAAAGCCTGCAGACACACTATTCATATGAGTTTGTGAAAGAGAAACATGGGCCTGTTGCCTGAATTTCTAAATTATTAAAGTGATAATAACTCTTCATTTCGGCCAAAAATGAATTTTCCTGGAGTAAACAACAATTTTCCCATACTAACCAATGGTTAATGAATACATTTTTACATTCAAAGTTAGTCCCTGGTTTTTTTCTAAAAAGTTTGTCTTTTGGTTAAAATCTCTTAAGAGATTTTAACAGAGTATAGCCATCAATAGAGGTCACGTGGTCTGAAGACAAGTTCAGATATCAGAAAAAATAGCTATAACCGCCGTTTTTGTGGTAAAACAGAAAATATTATATTTCTATGAGTTATTCACAATGTTTTTATTGTGATGTATAGATCTCATACGAAGAGTTATTATCCCTTTAAGTAAACCAAATGTCTCAACCTAATACTTTAACCTGGAAATTCCTAAAATTTATCTTAAACTATGCTTAAACCTGAGAAACACTGATTAATATAACAGAATAAACTCATAATGGACTTTCAAATTATGTAGAAACCAGTAAGTGATATCAAGCATACTAGTAACTTTGTAAAATAACTTTAAAATATTGCAAACTAGTGCTACTGTTTTGTCTTTTTCTTTCCACACTTCATCTGATAATTGAATAACAAAATTGCCTGTATTTTCTTAAGAAAGACCGTAAGCAAGAAAGTAACTCACAACATGCTTAAGATTAACTTTCAACTTAACGACATGCATTACCCACAGAAAATCATTTTGGGAGAAAAGGCACTTTTTCATGTCGATTAATTTAAGAGAAACTTGTATGATTTGATAGGACCACACATCTGCTTTAAATTCATTTTTCAATATTTCATACAGGAAGAAGCTGCCAAAAAAAAGGTGCGAAACACCAAGAACAGTTAACATGGTGAACTTTTGACTGGATCCCACGTTTTCTTTAACAAGTATTTTCTTGTTTGAGTGCAACTGAAAATAATATTTCTAACTAAATTCAAATTTGCCTTACATAATTTGAGTGAAATCTTTAAGACAAAAATTCATTCATTTCATCAATATATCTTATTTTATTCTAGTTATCTTTAAATATTTCAGTTCAAATCTTTTCTTCAATCATTTAATAAAATAATGTAACAAGTGCAAAATAGGAAGTAAATTTTTGATTCAGCTCAAGCAGCAACCCAAATACAAGCAAAACCAAAATGCAACTGTTTCTATATTACTCTGTGCTGATGTTGTTATCAGTTCTCCACACTCGGTGAATAACCTGACTCATTCACCCCAACACATCCCTAAAACCAAAACATTTCTTTTTTTTTTTCCATGGCAAATGAATAACAGGTCATGTTCACAGTAGGTTCAAAATCTGCTCGACTCTAAATAAAGTCTATCAGACAAGTTAAAGGTAATGCCTACACATCTGAAAATGACCCTTGTAAGTCATATTTTCATGTCTACCCCACAAAGCTACTCAATAATATTCATCTTAATTGACTTTAATTTAAAATTCCCAGTAATTAGAAACAATATAAAACACTGAATAGGTCAAGTAATGAATTTTTCTCAAAGAAAATCGCAAAAACCCTGGATAGGATACATATAAGTTTGTTGGGTCCTAGCTCTAAATGATACAGCAGAAGCTACCTGTTGTAATTTAGTTGTAAACCATTTATGAAGTATTCCCCACACAACTTGCATGTTAGGAAAAGTGAAGATCTATATATGCTTAATATTGTGGAGTGCTACTGTGCAAATACCAGTTCGATTACAATAAGGTATGCTAGTGTCAAATAGTTCATCAAAGTTTGAGTGAACATGGCTATTTTGTCAGTTTCAACAAAATGTAGATAACTTCTGACACGTTTCTATACTAAAACCAAACCACAGGCATTCATGACTGAAATATTTACAAAGTCATGATGAATATGAGTTCTGATTAAGTTTTTTTTTTAAGTGCACTGGCATGAACCTCGCGTCAAATAATTATTGGTGAATTCATGACTGTGTAAAATTTGCAATGACCCACACATTTTTTTGTCATTAAGATTTTTTCTTTTCATACAAAAATGCTGGAAATTATTCTCTTTTTCTGATGAAAAGAGAATGAATCTAGTCTTCAAATAAATAATCAGTGGGATGTGTATATGAGCTGGCTGAAACTATTTAATTTATTTAACATCATAATATTTTTGCACTATTTTTTGCACCAAAATGTATCGCATCATCTTTTGTTCAATAATTCTGTAAAATGTCTTTCTTTTGATGACAGTGAATGAAAAGGTGATTATTTCCTTCCAAAAATTCTATTTATAATTTATTCATTTCTTTTTTTATAACATCAAAACTTCTAGTAACCTTGAGATTCAGGTTCGATGTGTGACAGGTTCTCCATTTTCCAACCTCCGTATGTGCACACTTATATAATTAGCTACTCTGACATTCAACACAAAATCTGATTATAGTTCACCATGCCAATCACAAATGCTCAATCAGAAATCTTTCATGACTTGTAGGATACATGAACTAGTTGGCTGACTCAACTCACATTTGCAAATTGCATAACAAACATAATCAATTGCCACTGAAATCAAGATGCGACAAATGAGCAAGCAATTTGAAAACAAAGAAGTTATACTGAAACTGAGGCTAGAGTCCAAGACTTACTGCCTGATAGCACCATCCGCACAGCGGTCCCGCACCAATACAGCTGCCACAGTTTGGTTGGCCAAGGCAAGGGTTCAGCTGGAGCTCCTTGGCATTTTCTAGAGATCGAGAAACACAACATGTGATTCCAAGTAACAAATGTCCAAATGACAAATGTATCAGTTGTGAGAATTTTTATTTTTAATAGCATGCTTCCCACAAATACAAGAAGGCTCATCAAATTCCATGTGGAAACTTTGAAAATATTTATAGCTAATAGTATACTTAACATGAACACATTCTCTACTTCTGAAACAGCTTTTAAAGTTAAATGCATGTTTCAGTCAAAATGTATTTAAATTACTGTAGACAAGAATATACCTTTTTTTTTTTTTTTGCGAATTTCTTATCATTTATCATCATTCAATATAAAGTTTTGATCAAATTTGGCAATTTCCTTCTTATCAAAAAAAATTAAACTTGACTTACTCTGTGTCTGTTCATAACTTGATCCAATTAGAATCACACAAACAACTGCATATATATAAACTTCCATGTTGGTTCCTGAAAGTAGATGAAGTTTAGAATATTGAAGAATTCAAAATTTATTAAAGATGTGGGAGTAGCTTCAAAAGTTTTATCTTTGAATGATTTCACCCAATTGATAAAAATGCTCCACATGCCCAATATGACCAATTACCTAGACTTAATAATACTATATTCTGCATGAAACTTTTGGTGCATTCACAAATCAAATAAGACAATCCCTTTACAGACATTGACTTATAGATTCCCCACAGGGATTATGCAACAAGCATAATCAAGCATGTGTCAGCCATATTTGATCTTCGGACTAGTTAGTCCACTGTTGTGAATGTGGCCCTAGACCAGCTGGATCGGAGATATGCTTGCTTCATACTAGTAAATGCCTACTGACCACCTAGCCTTAGCCAGGTATCTGAACTCTGTCTGTCAGCTTACCTTAACATCTAAACTATAGATTTTTTTCTGTCAATAATGTCCTCTATGACCAAATGACAAAAAAGGATTGCAAAATTTCCCCCCACATCTGTATTTGATATGTGCCTCTGACTTCCTGCACTGGTAGTATTTCTCTACTATGCAGGATGTTTTATATGATTATGGACTGAAGTGCTAAGTTTCTACATGGTGTAGTGTTTCCCCTCTGGCATTTAGCAATGGGCAGCAGTTTGGTCAGAGTATTAGCCGTGTGATCTACATTTGGAAGTAATGACCATTAGGGCTAATTCCCACTGAACTATTGGTCTATGTAGATCGATCCAATACCACATGAGGCTCTTGTTGATTGCAATCAGTTTAACAGATAAACACTCCTCTTCTTGTTTCCAATGTATAATACAAGCTTTTTCCCCAGCCTAAAGTCACAGCAAAAGCCTAAATATACTCTTTAATTCGTTCTTATTTTAACCAGACAGCAAAGACCCTTGTGATTTAACTGAATTTTCAGTTTGTTGTTCTTTGTTCTCAAAAAACAGTCACAAAGACATGACCTGCACTTGTGTTTACATAAGGTACTATTCTACTTTAAGAGGGCATTTCCAGAGATTTAGATCGATTTTACTAGATCGACCTAACTCCCTGATGGTTCACGCTAAATTGCAGTCAGCCGATCGCGCACAGAAGTTAATTACCCCCTTACAGCTTGTAGCAGGCAGGACGGTCATTTAAGCTGGATTATCTGACAGTAAACTACTAGTAGTGAGACTCCCCACGGGGATAGATCGATCTAAAATCTATGGGAATGCACCCTAAGTCCCATACTAAGGTTTAAACACGTATTTCACATAAATTAGTCTTGCGATAGTATGATCAATTTCACAAAAAGAATAAATAAATAACACAAAGACAAACATTTGATAACTGAAAACAAACTGAAATAAGATGAATGAAAATAATAATATCAAAAATTGAATTAATAAAAAATAAATAATAAAAAATTAATACTAAATTAGTTTTAGCACTGTAGCAATAATCATAACTCACAGATTTACTTCATATTTTTCCAAACTACTCTTAAACTAACTAATAGATGTCACTTTTTACATAAACTCTAGTTGTTTCCCAGGAAAGTGATGCCACTCGTCTGGAATTAAATCCTAACTTTCAGACTGCCACTGTCTTAAGATATTAACCTTGAGACTGGGGTTATTGTTCTTACTCTAAGTCAGGAGCTGATTCAGCTAAAAATATATCCTTGCTAACTGAAGGCATTACTAATTTAACAAGGTTTTGTACTATTTTTCTTATGAACTTAAAACTTTGCACTGTACACAATACTAGTATAATTTAATACAAATTTTGAAGATTCCCAATTTTAAATTAATTTCTTATAATGTGTCCTCAGCTGCCCTCTCCCCAAGATACTGGGCCAATTTAATGTTTGGTCCCATATTATATAAAAAAAATATGTAAGCTTTCAAAATTGGTGAAGTACTCTGAGACTCAGGATCTTTTTAGCAAAATTGCTGAAAAAAAGTCTTTATAAATCTGAACTAAAACTACACCAAAAATAGGGATAGTGAAAAAAATCTCCATAGCTGGCCTGAAGCCCATGATTAACCATGTTTCACCTGTCCATAACATTAAACACACACAAAACACACCTGGGAGGGGTGAGCCCAGACCCTGAGATTTATATCTTTACTAGTACTAGTAATCAGTTCTGTTCACCTGAGTCTTGGTTCACTTTTGATGCCTGTTTAAACTAGGGCTTCTATGGACTGGAATTTAGCCCAACTTTTGCATAGTTGCCATTATTTGGAAATTAAAATGCGGGTCAATCCTCAAGTGAGAAAGGGGCTGCATTTGGGGTGGGGTGGGGGGTGGGGGGAGAAGAGAAGGTGAGGAGAAAAGGGGGTGGTTATGAACTGGCTGCCTGGGTTTTCAGTGTCCCTGCTTTGAAAAGACCTCTAATTTTTTCACCAAATGATAAAATAAACAATTGGTGACAAAGTGACATTATAACAATCACCCACTGATCAGCAGGTCACATGTATGAAAGGGAACAATTTTTTTTTCTTCTTTTCTTTTGGACACTAGGTTGAAATATTCTTAGACCATTTAACACAGGACAAAACATTTAATCCACCTGGAATCTGGGGAGGAGGGGGGAGAGAGAGGCTTATGATACATGGCAAATTAGTTTAAAATCTTGGAATTTCATGATTGCACAGTAAATCTTATGTCTGCAAATAGTGAGCAAGCTAGAGGACAATAAGTGTAAAAAAGTACTTGTCAAGGTTGAAAATATCCAGATGAGGTTTTTTGGATTTATATCATATCATACATGGATACGTATGTAACAATCCTATGGGACTATGTTAATGCCATTAGTTTAGTGGCAGTTCCTCCTCAAGCTGCCCGTCACTCATCCGCTCGACATTTAATTAAACTTTTAAAGAGGCGTTATCAAATTAAACTTAACTAGAAAAAGTCTCACAAATCTCCTATCCGCGATGATTTCATTGTTTTTCATAATGGTACCATATCATCTGCAAGTTGCCACACCATATAGTACCGGATATGTTAAAGACATTAAGGTTTTATATGAATGGCATTTCAACTCGTAATGCTACTATACTACTGGGAGCAGCCTTAACTACACTTAAACAGGAACTATTTCCATGCTTCCTCTAGAAATACTGCTAAAAATTATCAACTCACCTTCGAGAAATGTCTAAAATGTGGTGTTTTCAATAGTCTAAGGTTTTGTAATATGTTTGCAACTGGAAGAATACTGGATTAAAGTAAAATCATGACTCGCTGAGCTATTGTCTTACTCTTCTAAGGAGCTTCCTTATTGCCGGATGTTGGGATTAAATGCCGCTTACAATACTACAAAATATCTGCACGAAATGAATATTTTTGGCTCATCTCTTACAATGTTATCATTATAAAATATCCTCATCATATTAAAATGATACTATGTGCCAAAATAAGGAAGTAAACTTAACAAAAACAAGAAATTGTTAGTTAAACACCCCTCCTGTTTAGGTTGTGTTAAGCGGTTATGTTGCTCTAAGGAAATGAATCACATACATGTAGGCTAATGGGATGGTGTTTGTTTAATCAGTGCCTGTGTTTATATTGAACATCCTCTTGTCACAATCTGACTATTGTAAAAAATTATGATGCTGATAGAAATAATAAATAAGCAAAAAGATAAAAAACAATAATATTGTGAAAAAATAAAACATTTACGATAAAATCAGATTAAATAATTATGCTAATGAAAAAAAATAAAGAAATAGAAATTAGGGAGGAGAAAGCATACATTGCATTAATTTCACAAACAGCACTGTTTCTGAGATTTCAGTTTTAAAATACCAAAAACATTATTCTTGCATCCATTATTAGTGATGTGCCCGAGCAAACTGCGGTAAACTTCACCATAATACACGCACCTCACAATCAATGAATGAAGTAGAGCCATTGTGTTAGAGGAGATCTCAGCCATTGCGTTAGGGGCTATTTAGATAGCTATTTCAAGCTTCGATGTTTGATGGTCCACAGTTCCTCCTTTGGATCTCATACGAAACCGACCCCCCCCCCCCCCCCCTCAAATTAAATAAATGAATAAATAATATGTTAAAAATTAATAGTAACTAATCATCAAACTTCAGTCTTTTTAGACATTTTAGAATATTTTAAACAACTGTTATAACTCCTTGATACAACCAAGGAGTTATAACAGACTTGATACAACTTAATCATGTGCACTTCTGTTGGTAGTCCTTCTGTACGACTTCTGTTGGTATAAAAATGTGAAATGACCAGCTTTTTAATAAAGGACCACTCTTGTTTTGCCTGTGAATATTTCAACTGATGAGTATAATATTAGTATAAAATACAGTGAGCTTTTGGACCCTAAAACCCAGAGTCTTAAAACACATTATTCCATTATAATTTTAGAGTAATAATTTTAAGAATACTTTTATTTTGGGAGGGGGTTATATAAATCACTAATCTTTTTCTTAGAAACAACAGTGGTAAGCCTACAAATAACTAAATTGTTTTGTAGTAGTTCTAGTTGTCTTAAATCAGTCTTTTCAAATGTTAATTATTGCACAGCACAGGTATATTAATTTAATGTTTGTATGGAATGCAGACCCTTGATTTTGAGAACATGCACTTTTGAGAAATGAATTATCAATTCAAAACATAAAACAGTTGTTGTTACAAGGACTGGTATTTATAAATACCCACAAATATACATAAAAATTCCTCATTTCACCTATTAAGGCTAATAAAAGTGCAATTTACAAAAATTTATAATTTAAATATACATGTATAAAACAGATATCATGATTTTTTTTTCAAAAGACTGGATATACACACATCTTCGCATTAAGAAATGCATTTGGAATGCTTTATCTACCCAGGAAATGGATATTATATATCAGCTGCATCATTACCACACAAACACACATTTACTGAAATTCTGTTCCTCTACACTACCAAAGTTGCTGTTTATCTTCAGTTTTATAAAATCTTAAACCAGTTGATGGTACAATGTGATAAACAACATACTTGATATCCTACAGGGTAGTAGCCAATTAAGTGGTCTTTGTTCACTGGACGGATAGCATTACTTCATAATGAGAATATACAATTAAGTTGCGATATTTAAACAAGTTGTGATATACCAAAACTGAACAAACAGACCCACTATCACGATGAACGAAAAGAAAATGACAACAATGAATACCATGAAATAAAAAAATACATTCCATGAGTGCAGTCCCCAACAGTCTTTAATTCAGTGTGTTTTCAGATGGCATCTAACTAAATTAGGTGTTATTTTTTAACACCCTCCACATAGTTCTCCATTTAGTATAGTTTTCATTCATAGAGGGCAGCTCAGTCAACTCTAGGTGTTACAACACATTCCACACAGTTTCAGTTTTAGACTATAGATGGCAGCTCAGTCAACTCCTGCTATAACACCTCCCATAGACCTGATAAAGTGAATCCTTCTTTTAGTTTCTCCACTGCCAGCCCCAACTCCTCTGAGTAAACAGGATCTCGGTCCTTCTGGTGATCCCCATCAGCAAAGTAGGCCTGGAAAGAGATTTTAAAAATATAATATAATCACTGTCGACAATTTTTCATTGTCATGGATTGAGGATTCTATTAACACAGCAGACTTTGCGTGCTGGTAACTTGTCTTATCACTTCACTGATTTTTTTACCTTGAACAATGAATTAAATCATATTTTTTTCTGAAATTAGCTGATGTTGATTTGCACACTGCCTAACTCATATTTTTGTTTAGCTTGGACAAATTCTACGGTTCCAAAGACTCCAAATTATGTGCAGTTTTTCACCCTTTGTAATGAACTAATTTCATGTATAATTTTTTTAAAAACAATGTGACATACTTTTTATCAAAACTTGTTTTCATTTAATTTGGGTGCGACACCTGAAATATCCAGAAAAGTGACCGGGGGGGGTGGGGGTGGGGTGGGGTGTAATTTCAAAATATTATAAACAAAATAAAATAAATGAGGTTGTAATTATGCCAAATTTTGACCCATCCTATTGTAACATGAACTCACAGCGAAAGCATCAGACTGCTCCTCTGTCTGTTCTATCTCCACATCATCCTGGACATTCTCTACAGTCAAATCTTCTAATGGCTCCGGCTGGAAGTAGACATTTTGATGACTATATAGGCTTCCTATAGAATTTCTAAACAGCCCTGTAGGATCCTATAGAGTCCTGTAAGATCTTATAGAGTCCTGTAGGATCCTATAGAGTCCTGTGGGATCCTATAGAGTCCTGTAAGATCTTATAGTCCTGTAGGATCCTACAGTCCTGTAGGACCTTATAGAGTCCTGTAAGATCCTTGCAGAAAACAGTAGGATCCCTATAGAGTCCTGTGGGATTCCTCTAGAGCCCTGTAGGACCTTATTGAGTCCTGTATGATCCTATAGAGTCCTGTAAGATCTTATAGAATCCTGTAGGATCCTATAGTCCTGTAGGACCTTATAGAGTCCTGTAAGATCCCTGCAGAAAACAGTAGGATCCCTACAGAGTCCTGTGGGATTCCTCTTACTAGACCTGTAGAAGTCCTACAGGCAATTTTCATAAGGGTAATCATTTGAAAACATAAAGCAAAATTTATAATGTCAAACAAATGCCACAGGTAGATAATCCATTAAACTATAGGAACTTCTTTGACATTAACAATAAAGGCATAAATTTCAGTGCACTGGCATGTTTTTATTGCATTATTTCATTTTGGTATTCTTTGCAGTATGGTAACTCACCTTATCCTCTACCTCAAACTCTATCCCATAGATAGGACAGGCACTGTACACCTTGTGTAGACTCTGTATTTCTTTGGCTGTCTCCTGTAATTTCTCAGTGGGGTCGATTCTAAATCCTAGGACGTAGCCACCACTCTGCAATGGGGGTCAAGGTCATATCATTAAAGCATTTCAAGCATTCTGCGATTCCAATTCAGCTCACGATTGACAGATCTGTTCACAAAATTGTTGTTTAGTTATCATCATGATAGTTTCATGGTAAATACGACTTTTGATTTCTACATAATCGTCAATTAATCTGGATGGAGAAAATAAACTCTCCCTAAAACATATCATATCATATATCCAGATGAACTTGTTCTCTACTCTTTTTAATACTGCAGTATTCAGGCTATTCTACCTCAAGTAAGCACAGCAAAACAAAGACACCTTTACCCATCAAAACTGCCACTCTCCTCATACTGCAGCATCCTACCTGCTGTGAACTCTCTCCACACACACAAACACACACACACACACACACCTTAACCCAGTAAAACTGCCACTCCCCTTGTACTGCTATATCCTACCTGTTGTGAACTCTCCACCACCAGAGCCAGACCAAACTTGGAGTCTCGCACTTTGACACTCTTCATCTGCAGGTACGGAATGCTCACGTTGAAGGACTCGTTGAGATTAGCGTGCCACACCAGGCGGACATTGGTGATGTAGAAAGTGCCCAAATTACCCTGATAATGTTAAAAAATAAAATTTAAACACTGTTACAGTAAGCGAATGGCAGCAGTGGCAATTAATTCAATATAATCACATTCCTGATAAAGGAAGGCGAAGAACTGTCTTTTTGACTGGAAAAGGTCTGTTCTGAATGAAAATTTGATCTTGATTCCATAATGCCTTTCTCATTTTGGGTCACTTATGGGTCATTTACAAATTTCATATTTAGGAACAAAAAAAAAAAAAAAAAAAAAACTTAAAAGCTACCTGCTATATGCCTGTATGTATTAGTTTACCTGGTCACTGGACAGATTCCAGACCCCATTGACTTTATCATACACCTGTTCCAGGGGCAGCAGTCTCAGCTGCTTGTTGGTGATCAACGCTCCACGAAGCTTCAACTCTCTGTACATTTTAGAAGTCTCGTATGCACGGTGGACGGCAATGACTGACGTGAATAACTGTGGAGTCCCTGGCATCTGTGATCACATAATAATCTAAATGTTACTACATATCAATTTACTTCATACAAATCTGTGTATATTACTTCTGTGAAAGAAGGCAAATTTTAATACCACACTAAAAAATATAAGCAGTGCACAAATAATCCCTGCATCAAAACCTGTGCTTGTTAATAAAAGGTTTATTCTCAACATCTTGAATGGAGCATACTTACACTATTTTTTTAATATGCTTATTCAGGTGCTTATAGCTATATAATGGCATATGCACTGTAGCAACTGTGTAATATTTCTTTATTAGCAATAAAAGCAACCAGCAATATATTAATACATACTGTATGATCATCACCCGTGCAGTTCTAACATAATTATAATGGTGTGGCAAGTCTATAGTCTAATTGATTAAATTTAAAACCATGCATTTTTATGACACAAATTTTCAAAAGAATGCAGTTCACATTATGCAAATAAATAAATAAATAAATAAATATTAGCAAAAAATATGCTTAGCTAATTTTCACTCATATTCTAAAAATTGATTAGTTCTAAATTTTTTGTAAAGAAAACCATGTGGCAGCAATGTGATGCTGTATGCTGTACTAGTACACAGCTCTTGGCAACATATCTGTGACTCGAGATCACAACTATTTGGCTTATGTGGCCTGTGCACTGGCATAGCACTGCTGCATAAAGCATATTTTTGTTAATAGCGTTAACATTAAAGCTGGGGTGCTTTATTTGAAATGCACAAAAAAAGTATTAGGCTTACTTCAAAGCAATCAGAAAGCTGATGAAGCTGTAGAAATCTTTTTCATTACTACATGTTGTGTGTACTGAAAGATACTCTTTGTCAATAAAACTAGTATCAATTGAACACTAAAATAATTATAGCAGTAAGCACCTTCCTTCACTTTCTTTTCAGGTGGACTACTGCTGCGCTGTTGACTTTCTGACTGCTTTAAAAATCAGCTAAGCTGGTTATCTTTATAAGTGTGCACACATCTCATAACTGCACATTTCAAGCTTATAACAATTAATATCTTGCAAAGCTTCCATAAGCAAGCATCACAAAAGCACTACATGCACCAGTAGCTGGTGTAGGCATTACTCTACTTAGCCATTATCTTATTTAGATACAGTCAGAGTGTGACACCTTGAGTTTCAAAGGTCACTGGAAATTGAGTGTGCAATTTCTAGAATCCTGTAATTATACTACTCTTTGATCTCATTCAGACTAGTGGACTTACACGGGGACCAAATACGTCCAACATAAATGCTTGTTGCATAATCCCCATGGGGAATCTATTCAGTGTCCAGTAGATTATGGGGAAAGCATATATAGTGGGTCTCCATATTTGGTCCACAGATCAGTTAGTCCGCCGTTCTGAATGTGCCCACTGAGTTTCCAGCAACTTCTGAAACCCTAGGTGGGGTACAAGCACAGTATTAGTGTAGATATAAAATGGTTTCGTGGAACAGGCCCTTATGCAGAGTATAGCCGTTGGTGGGGGATCCAGGGGTTCAAAAAACAACAAAAAAAAAAAACTGCCCTTTTGGCTGGAAAAGGTCAACATGTTTTGCAGTGGGTGAAGAACTACAGTTAAGGGAAGATGATGAAAATTAAAACATTTAATTTATTTACAAAGATAAATAAATAAATAAATACCACTGATTGCACATGCAAAGTGTGTATTTGATTCATAATTCATAGTACTACAGCTCTCTCTCAGTGGGATCCTTAAATAACAAGAGCAAGCTTCTAATAATTTATCTAAGTATGGTTCAGCAGCAGTATGTCTTCAAGGCGTGAAATAAATAAAGAGGATGTAAGGTTTCAAAAATCAACTGAGCAGTGCGACTGACAGGGATGTGAATGCATTACCCCTTGGTGACTAGGTGTTCTGGCAGGATCCTAGAGACAACGACGGCATACAGAGGAAAAAGACGACATTTAATTTATAACAATGGATGGTAACAATAACAACCACATCTTTGTTATCACTGGGAAGATAGACAATAGGTAGTTAGAGTACATAAATTCACCCCTTTAGTCTGTCCCTTGCTGTATATAACTACATTTTAATAGAATATTTTCTGTTTCATCTAACTGATTCAAAAATTAAAACATTTAAAATCACACAGTAAAAACTCAAACATATATTGCAGATAATTATGCAATCAAGTATGAATCCATACACAGTACTACGACGTACGTGTATATACAGAGATGAAAGCAAACTTTTTAAAAAATCCTGAAAATGCATGCCCCATAGACTGCAGGCAACTCTATATGTGGGTGTGATAGGGGGAGGGGGACAATACAACGTTCAAATATCCAGATTTCCAGATAAATCCTGAAGACTTTCATCACTCTCTATATACCTGTATATACATGTACAGTACCGGGTACTTTAGTGACCACTGAAAATGATCTCACATCGGCATGGGTTGTGGATACATGTCAACACTATACATTTCTGGGGGTTAGACTGGTCAATGTGCAAGACAACTAAGAGGATTTAGATTTATTGAAGCTGGTTTTCTTCACAGATACATAATTACACATATTGTTAATAATAACACCAATGCAATGCACATATCATTAAGTCTATACATAAGCACAAAGCTTTAAATATTGGGTTAGTTTGCAGAGTCATCATAGGATGTAGCATTTAATCTGGAAAAGTATGTTGGAAAACACAAGTATTCACAATATTAATCCATCATTGAAGTGAGCACCAACAGAGAGATTACCTCCAATATTTCATTCATTCTGCGTTGTGTGGAACAATTCTGAGCATGCATGAGAAGATATGTATACATGGGATCTACTAGTAATAGCATGCATGCGGTGGATATTTATAATCAGTGTAATTATACTATATGATTTAAATATACTGTGGTTACATTGTCGTAAATAATTATTATACTTAAAGATATATCACTTAATAATGGCTGTTGAAAATCAATCAGAAGGTAGATTCATTTTGCAAATTACAAATTTAACAACAGTGCAATTCAGTCAGTGGCAAAACATCACGAACATTCAAATGTGAAAGAGTCTGCAAGCAATGGATCTGAAACTCGCACAACTCTGACCTTAATTTGAACATGATTTGTAGTCAGAGAAACAAAAATTTATGTGTTCAGATTGGTCAAACAAAAATGTTTTCATCCAAACATCAGGAAGCAGCCACTTGATTGCGGTCCCTATTTCCTCCCCCCCCCCCCTTCAAAAAGGAAAAAATAAAAATAAATGTAAACATGCTCATCCTTTAACTGAGAAATGATAGAAGTAATGCTGCAGTCAAACAAATACTTCCTGATGTCAGAGAATACTAAAAAAAAGAAGAAAAAAAGAATTGTTAAAATAAATCCGAATGCTGCTAGAGTGATATTTATTGTATGGTAACAACTTTTACTGTGTAAGTAGTGCTCTTACCAAATTTGTGAAAATGAACTCAAATCTTGTATTGTTGCACTTGGTCAGAACATAGAGTGCCTCAGTTGTTCCTCGGAGTTTCTGAAAAGATTTTTTGAAGCGATTCTATTAATATCTCTTTTACACATACATAATGCTACATGAACCACAAAAAATGAACAAAAAAAGATCACAATACCAAAAAATACACCAGTATGACCTACTGTATATATGCTATCTTAAAAGTGAGAGTATATTCACAAATAATTCCTGGGGAAAAAAAATTAAAAAAAAACAAAAAAAAACAGGAATCTGACAAAATCTCCTTAATAAATGAAATACAGCAAAAGAATCAAATAATATTTTACTTACTGATTGAGCCGTCTTTGTTGATATGTTGATTATACAGTTGTACCCAATAGCTAGGAAAAAAATATCATTATTCTATTCAGCACTTCAAAACATTGACATGCAGCTGATCTATCACTGGATAATTCCAAACTTTTAAAATACAATAATTATGTGTACATTTTTTCATTTAACAGCTTTATAGACTGTCTAGTCATAAAAAAAAATTATAGACTAAGGCAGGATTTCATAGAATTTGTTTTTTATAAAATTGGTCTATTGGACCAAAATGTTTACATTACATACAGCATCAATCAACATTTAAATGTATTAAGTTACTTCTACCTTGTGTTTATACTTATTTAAATGCTAAAATCTTTAAAGATACTCTCCCGTGTACTTATAAATACCTACACAGATTTACTCTGGGAAAACTGGCTGAGTGCCAAATTAGTCTGAGGTTGGTCACCAAGAGCCTCCCTGAAATTATAACATTATAGTATATAAAGGTTATTGAGTTTATTGTTGTTTTATTTTTTTTATATGATCATTTTTAATGTAATATGTTTTACCTAAAGGCACAAAATAGCTATTAGATGTCCACATACAGAAAATAACAGGGGCCAAGACTTCCTCAGATTCTCATTAATTGAATGACACAATTAAAACTGAAACAATTAAAATCTTATTATATCTTTGGGCCATGTAATCACCCACTAGACCTACCCCTGTCTCCATTGTTGCCTTTTGTGTCCTCTATAGAGTCCAGCTTGTCTATCATCTTCTCCCCTGGCTTAAGACTCATTTGCCTATTAGATAAAATATTAAGATTCATGTTAAAAATAATTTTAAAAACCACATATGCAGTGGAGCACTGTGAATAAATTGGCATAAAATTTTGTTTTGAAGTTCAAATAAATACTAGCATTGTGGTGTCTATTTTGAAAATATACATGTAATTATGAACCCCATTTTTATTCTATTAAGCTGTTCCCAATAAAAAAAATACACATCTGACCTGGCCCTGAGATGGGTTTATTTTAGTAATGTTCATATTTTGACAGAACACATGTACCAGTTACTGGTATACGCTTAGCGTGATTCTCAGTGCTAACGCATGAATTTTCCTGCTAGTATACGCTCAGCTTGAATTACTAAAGTTATATTCAAAATTAAATTTCAATTCAAAATAATGTTTTTATATATGTTCACCGATGAACGATTGACTCCACTATCATTAATATGATGTGCACATTCTTGAAATTATATTTGCAATTTTTACTTTTTGTTATGTGATATTTTTCAATGCGATCTTGAACGCACACCCCCTTTCCCTCTCCACCCTTCAACACGTGTCCATTGATAAAAGAAAGTAATATTTCACTTGCTTTTTGTTCACCCGATGTATTTGACACATAAGTGATTAAATCAATGGGGGAACCCCCACGAGAGCATTTTAAAATCCTGTCAGAACACACACTTACTGCGGACTTATGTCAAACCTGACATCTCTATCTTCCCACAGACCCTGAAAGTCCATCTTGTCAGATTTGTTGTAGTTGCAAAAATGTCCCACAATTCCACGCGTCAAAAGTTAAGAAGTAGGTCAAGCTTTTTCTCATAGACGAACCTAAACCAATGGCCCTGTCTTTCCAGAGATAACCCTTTGAGCAATCATATGCTGGAAATGTTACGGTTTCCACGAAAAAGGGACAAAAACGGTATTACTTCGTAGGTTGTTTTGAAGATTGAAACGGAAATTGCACTGCGCATGCGTAAGCTTATTACTTCCGGCGTGTGCTTGAAACGTGAATTCTACGTAAGTATACATTTTTTCAAATACCTTTCAAAGATAGAAATGTATATTTAGATACGGACCGAATAGTTCATCATTTTCTAAACGGATTCATACCGAAAACAGGTAGGAGAGAGCCTTGGTTTCATGTGTTGACGACGATTCGAGCCGACAACTCGCTGTTCTGGCGCCGGGGAAATACAGTATTTTGCCGTCTTGTGAAGCTTTTTTGTCAGTCTTTAGACGTAGTGGGCCAGGGTGTGCATTTCATATTTTGAATGCAGTTAATGCACGTTTAATGCTAATACCAAGATTAATCTATAATCTACAAATACAATTGCAGAAAAATAAGATAAAAGGTACACTAACATTTTAGTTTGATTTTGATGGAACTGCCAGTTGAAATCATGAAAATGTTTGGAATACAGTATATTTTCTTTTAAAAATGGTGACAAGAAAACACCCATTAGGCCACACTTTTTTAATTTTATGGATGACATCCTGCGCGCGCACCGATTTTCGTCCGTTCTCCAAAAAAAAAAAAAAAAAGAACCCCCCCCCCCCCAAACCGCTTTAATTTGCTTTAATTTCAAAATACACGACAATTAAAGTCGTAAAGAGAACGGGGACCGTCTTTTTGGATTGGTTTGCCATTGATATTGGACATGGAGATATCACCCTTTAACAATTATACGAAAGGCTGGCCGCGGCCAGCGATGATCGNGTTTCAATTAGAAAGTTGTTGACGTGCAAAAATCTCTCAAATGTTTTAGCTATGAATTGAGCGATTGCCGCAGGGAAGTTCACTGTAACTTAATTCCCCCAACCTGAGCAGACATGGATGTGGACGTGAGAGTGAAGGAGGAGAAGAAGGACAGAAGAGACCAGGAAAGGTCAAGAGACGGCGAGTCACGCAGACACAGGTCCAGGAGTCGTTCTAGGGACAGAGACAGGGACAGGTGAGAAAAATGACACATTTTATTATTATTATTATTTACTTTTTAATGGTTAATTGATTAATTGTTGTTATTAGCACTGTCCATAGAAAAGATGAAAAAATTCGTCATAGACAAATGATGTTTTACGTAAGTCTTAACCAGTGATAAGTTATCAGAAAATAATTGAAAGTGAAACCAAATTCAGTTTGTATACTATAATTCCATTATCACTTAAAGCGAGAGATACGTGGATGAACAGGTGATAAGCTGTAGTCAGGTAATTTGAAGTAATCAGAGCATTATTAATGAGTTTGATGTTGGTCTTTTAGACGGCGAAGGAGTCGCAGCAGGGACAGGGACAGATCCAAACGCAACAAGGACAAATATAGGTCAAGATCTAGGTCACCAAGAAAGAAGGATGACAAAAAGTCCAAGTGAGACAATATTGTATTTATTTATTTTATTTATTTATTATTTTTTTAAATATATTAAAATTTACAGTTGAATGGTAGTATTTTTCTGCCACATATCACTTGAAGAATTTGATAATAAGTGCATTTGATGATTAATTATTTCCCATGTGATTGGGTTTATAAGGAAAAAAAAAAAGAATTGATCAAATTGCGTATTTAGTCACATGAAACAGGCATGTTCACCCACTACTTCAAATATATATTGTATAAATTATTATATGACTTGTATCATATTATACAAGTGTATGATGTCAATAAAAGGGAGTGTTTAAACTATCAACATTGACATTTCTTGGTTCTGTATTATTATGTACATGTAATTTCAGGCCAAAGGAAGAAAAGAAAGAAGAAGAACCAGAGAAAAAAGTTCCTTTGTCCTTAGAGGAACTTTTGGCCAAAAAGAAAGCAATGGAAGAGGCAGAGAGCAAGGTATGTGAATGTCATTTCCAACAGTGTTGTCTTTGCACCTATTTACTATGTAAATATCTTAAATATCTTTGTATCTATTTACTCTGTAAATATCTTCTTTTTCCATTTTTCTTTCAAAGATAGAAAGTTATTTGAAGTATTTACATGTCTTCTGCTGTATCCACTTTTAGCCAAAATTCTTAACTAAAGAGCAGAGGATAGAAGAGGCACTGAAGAAGAGACAAGCAGCAGCAGATGAACAGAGAAAAAAGATGGAGGAAGAAAGGCAAAAACAGAGAGAATTTCTGAAACAGGCCAGGGAGGCTAATGGTGAGCCACCAGTGTTGAAAGTTGATAAATCAGACATGCTGAAACTGTCGGTCCGATTGGCCATGACCGGGAAATTTTGTCTGGACCGGTAGAAAATTGGACTTGGTCGGTCCAAAGGACCGACAAGAGTTTTAAGAACTGCAATTTTGAATTTACAGTCATCTTTCGACATACTTCACTAATAAAATTAAATTAATTAATTTAATTAATTAATTAAACCCAAAGCGTTTTTTCCCTTCCATTTCAAAACTATCACATTCACAAACAAAGTAAGCTACCCTAATCGTACTGGTGGTATCTGTTACAAACGAATAGAGTGATTTCCGGTCCGACAAAAATCCATTTGGTCCGGCAAATTTTTCATTACTGCCAGTCCAAATGTCCGGCAATTCTGAAAAGTTTTCAGCATGTCTGTAAATTCACTTTTATAAAATTGAAGTGACATAGTGTAAGAGTAACACACATGTTAAGTATATAAATCATTTAATACTTATTGATAATAGTTTAACAGGTAAATGCCATGAATTTATAAATATATAAGTATTTAATTTAAATGAGTGATTGATCTAAAAAATGAAGAAAATTAGTTAATTATGAAATTTCAATTAAACCATTTTCCGAGAAAATTGAGATAGTAAGAAGTGAAATTATGTTTTATTTCTGTCACACAGAGGACCCCAGAGAACGTGAACGTCGTGAGAGACGGGAGAGAAGAGAGCGCGAGGAGGAGGCTGGTGTCAGAGAGAATCCCATCCATGATAAAGACAAGCAGAAGGAAGAGGAGGCAATTAAAGTGAGTGTTAACGAATTTTGTTTTTGATCCCATGGCAAAAAACAATTAAACAGAGGACGTGAACGCAGTGAGAGAAGGGAGAGATTTAAACAGTTGTTATCACTTTAATGATTGATCAAATTTGTCAATGTTTTCACTTTTTTTCAAAGTATCTCTCTGATGTTACAGGAAAGATACTTGGGGATGATAAAGAAGAAAAGACGCCAGCGTCGCCTCAATGACAGGAAGTTTGTGTTTGACTGGGACGCGGGGGAGGACACGTCTCAGGACTATAACCCGCTGTACAAGGAGAGACACTCCATACAGCTGTTTGGCAGGGGACATATTGCTGGGATTGATATGAAGGTGATTGTTCCCACTCACATCCCTTCCAAATGTCTTTTTTCTTTTTCTTTTTATTTATTTGTTTATTTACTTAATTTTTCCGTTACTGTTGTAATTGATCAGCTGCAGTGTGAAACTTAGTATCATATCGTAGTCATTGTTAAGGTCTTTTACTTCTGCCAGGGATGTTATGTATTTGCCTTTGATGGTTTGTCCCTTAACAGCCTAACTGAAAAAGTTTCCAATATATCTTAATAAATTTTCATGAAAGGTCAGAAACGAGATAACTTAAGATTCCATAAGATTTTGATGGTTGTTAGTTAATCATACAGTTAATGTAATAATGAGAATTGAGTTGCATTGGCAGTGGTGTGAGCTGTCAGAGCCTTTTTCTAGAAAAATTATCTTTCCCTTTTTTAATTAACAAACATAGTAATAATGTTGTAGTCAATATATTCACAGGCTTTAATTTTCCTTCTTACCCCATTTCAGGCACAGAAAAAAGACCAGTCTCAATTCTATGGAGAGTTGATGGAAAAAAGAAGAACAGAAGCAGAGAAAGAACAAGAAAAGTAAGAAAAACTATTTTATTATGAAATAAGAATATGATTGAAAGGCTAGAGATCAATCTTATTTCTTTCTTTTTTTTTCTTGTCACATCCCATTCTTTTTCTGTAAAATTACTGTATTAATTGATTGATACATATGATGATAAAATGATGACACATAATTTGTTTCACTTTAAATGTAATTCATTCATTTCTTTTATGTTTCTCAATAAAGGAAGAGACTTAAAAATGAGACCAAGAAAGAAGCCAAACAGAAGTTCGACGACCGCCATTGGTCAGAGAAAGAGTTGGAGGCCATGACAGAGCGTGATTGGAGAATTTTCAAAGAAGATTACACGATCTCCACCAAAGGAGGGAAGATCCCCAACCCTCTGAGGAGTTGGAAGGAAGGGAACCTGTGTAAAGAGTTGCTGGAGATTATTGATAAGATTGGTTATAGAGTAAGAATCTGAAATTCTGAAATTTTATTTGTTGAGATGAAAGTCTACAATTTATCTGGTACAGATTGTAGATGGCTATATAAAAGTGGATCTAAGCTGCATTACAGTGGTGTATTTGTGTACCATAAAGTATCTCTGTCTAAGGTTCAGTGCCAAAAAAGTATATTTTTATGCAACAGGGTATAATTTTATCATACTATAACTGTAGTGTAAAGGCTTCCACGATAAGGTTCTCTTTAATAACATGGGTATTATAAAGGATTAGGGTCTCATTCTTACACACAGGAGGTGACATTAAGATAAAAGTAAAAAAAATTACATAGTTGCACCAACAGCTAAATCATAAATCTTCTTGCATCTAAATCATGTTACATCTTGGATGTTTTCAGGAGCCTACCCCTATACAGAGACAGGCCATTCCTATTGGTTTACAGAATCGTGATGTCATTGGCGTGGCAGAGACAGGATCTGGAAAGACGGCAGCTTTCCTCATTCCTCTGCTAGTGTGGATTCTATCTCTTCCCAAGATAGAAAGGTAAAATGTTTTAGCTTATCAGTAGAGAGCTGTTATGTGAATTCTGTGTATTATTTAGAGACGTTCTGTGCACATTAGGCTGTTATACAGCAAAGATAATGTGAAAGTAATTGATAAATTGAAGAATTTTCTTTAATAAAGTTAAACTGTTATTTTTGAGTCACTCAGTTAGGGATGGAAAGTGCTGAATTATTAGTATGCCACTAATAATTCAAAACTTATAACTTTTTATTTGGAGAAAAAAGTGATTTTTTTTCATGAAAAGGTCTAACATCCATTTTATCTTAATTGTCTTCTTATATTACTATCTGATTTCTTGCTGAAATAAAAATCTCACTATCCTTTTCTTTCAGAATTGAAGATGCAGATCAAGGCCCCTATGCTCTGATTCTGGCCCCCACGCGTGAGCTGGCCCAGCAGATAGAAGAGGAGAGTCAGAGGTTTGGCCAGTCACTAGGGATACGTACGGTGGCTGTGATTGGTGGAATATCTCGCGAGGAACAAGGTTTTAAACTGCGGCAAGGATGTGAGGTGGGATACAGTGGTTCTGTTCTGAACTTTTCTCTGTCAGTTGAGTTTCGGCCATTGAAAAGTTTTTTTTTATTTGTAATGAAGGAATGAAAAAAAATTTTGATTCTGTACTTTGATCTGAATGTCAAGTCTGTACATAATGAAGTTCTGTTTCATAGTATTTATTATTGTATTTATTATTGTGTATATTTGATTTGTTTATTTGTAAAAAATTAAGTAATAAAAAAGTCCTACTGTAACAGGATTTAGTCAAATAACTAATTACAATTATTATTTATACTCATTAGTTATTCAGTTCATAACTTAATAATATTAGCCATTCATTTGATCTGCTTCTTTAACACCATTATTATCTTCATCAGAATTTCTTTATATATATAAATACAAAAGTGCTTCTATTGATTTTTTTCTCCTCTTTCTTTCCAGATAGTTATAGCTACCCCAGGTCGTCTGATTGATGTGTTGGAGAACAGATACCTGGTCTTGTCACAGTGTACATATGTTGTTATGGATGAGGTGGGTGGGACAGATTGTGTTGAATTTCACAACTAACACAATCAAAATACTTAATATTCGTTTCTTCACGCTACTTGCAAACTTCGCATAAATGGGACACTGAGGGACCGGGAAATTTGCTTGAGTTACACAATATTTAAGAATGTTTTTTCAGCTAATACTACAAACAAGTCTGTTCTGTATGATTTCTGTGTGATAATGATGCTCAGCTTCAAGTTCAAGTAATAAGATGACAAATTTTATGGAGACTGCTTTGTGGTATTCTGTGTTGAAATAAGTTATCTATTCAGTCTCTTCTTCAAACGTGTAATACTGATGGAATGAAAAATTGATCATGAATTTTTTTTTTCAAGTTTTTTCAGGCTTTATTGGAAGATTAATATTTTCTTTTTTCTTAAATTAATTAGGCTGATCGTATGATAGACATGGGTTTTGAGCCAGATGTTCAAAAGATTCTGGAATATCTTCCTGTGACCAATGAGAAGCCAGATACTGAGGATGCAGAAGATGACATGAAACTACTGGAAAATTTTGCATCCAAAAAGAAATACAGACAAGTAAGAATTAATTTGATACTTATTAAATTTAGATGCTGAATTTGATTTAAAAAAATACAGTCCTTTGAAAAAATCATAATTTTGAGATTTGTTTAAAAGCATATAAATTGTATGATTTTGGAGATATCATAACAAAATGTTGACAGCAACACAAAGAGCAGTGGTAAGTCTAGCTTGGCTGGTTTTTATTATAAACAGATTGTTTTAATCATCAAATAACTCATGGATTGATTGATTTACAATATCATCAATATATCTTCATAAATTCAGACTGTCATGTTCACAGCCACCATGCCTCCAGCAGTAGAAAGACTGGCCAGGTCGTATCTAAGGCGACCAGCTGTGGTTTATATAGGTTCTGTGGGTAAACCTATAGATAGGGTGGAGCAGATTGTATACATGGTGACAGAGACAGAGAAAAGGTAAAAGTTTTTACTGGGTCTAAGGTGGTTTTGGAATGTGATTATAATATTTTTGTAATTATGAACTTATTATGATGTACTCCAGAGGAAATGGGTTTACTTGAAAATCGTCATACCGCCATCAGATGATTTGCCAAAGAGAGAAAAAATCAAGAATATAAAGTTTTTATTGAAGGTGAATGGAAATTTGAAAAAACTTAAGTATTACATTATCATTTACACTCTCATATTATTATTTTGTATTGAAATTTCAGGAAGAAGCTGGTGACCATCCTGGAAAGAGGCATAACCCCTCCAATCATCATCTTTGTCAACCAGAAGAAGGGAGCTGATATTCTGGCCAAGTCACTGGAGAAAATGGGAGTAAGTGGATGAATACTGTCACACTTAACATCCTATTTCATGTAAAAAAAAGGTTTTTATATTCCCTAGATAAGATAATAAAACAGTTGTTATTGACTTCTAAAGAGACTATATAATGAGAGGTGGGCACTGCTTAACAACCCACCACTTCTGGACCTTGATCTACATTCCTGATGGGTGAGTTTAGGGGTTTAGCCAGGATTTGAAAACAAATGCATGTGCTGTTGAAAATGGGAATATATTGAAGTGCAGTGTGCCATATCAATTTGTGTGTGTGTGGGGGGGGGGGGGGAGTACTGAGAATTTTAACAAGCAGTCCACTTGTAACATAGGTTGTTTTCTGATTGCACAGGCTGTCCAAATGACAATTGGATGGCTCTCTGGATTAACCTCTTGTGAAAATAAGATAACATTGCCAATACATTTCAGCCAATAAATGCACAAATCCAATCACAATAGCCTGCCCACTTTGACTGTTCTGTGCTCAAAATCAAGTTGCAAGCTGACATTTTTTGCTGTGATTGTAAAACAATTTTGAATATTATTTTTGTTTCTTGGTTCATTTGCAAACACAGTTAATTATGACTAAAGTCGTAGAATTTCTTTTGGCTCAATACTGCAGTGCAGGAATAATTTTATGAATTTTATTGAACACAACTAAAAACTTGATAAATGCTATGACTGTAACACAGTGTCTTGTTTTCTCCTATCCAGTACAGTGCAGTCACTCTTCATGGTGGTAAGGGTCAGGAGCAGCGAGAGTTTGCTCTGGGCAGCTTGAAGAAAGGCGAAAAGGACATTCTAGTGGCCACTGATGTCGCAGGACGTGGTATTGATATTAAGGACGTATCCCTCATTATCAACTACGATATGGCAAAGAATATTGAAGGTAAGAAATCACTTTCTTTTTGTTCTTGTTCCTTTGTAAACACAGTAAATACTTAATAAAGACATGAGATTTTCCTTTTTGGTTCAGTACTGCAGACCTGGAGCAATTTTTATCATAATTGCTTTTATTGAATATAACTTACAAATGTTATACATTTCCAAAGATTTGCATTTTAATAATTTGGATTTGCAATTTTAAAATAAATGTCATCCAGAATATAGATACACCATTCATGAAAATGATGGGTCCGTTTCTCTCTATTCCAGATTACACACATCGTATTGGTCGTACTGGGCGAGCTGGTAAAACTGGTATTGCAATCTCCTTCTTGACTAAAGAGGACTCTGGCGTCTATTACGATCTCAAGCAGGTACTGCAGACCAGTTCAGTCTCTGTATGTCCTCCAGAGCTGGCTAACCATCCTGACGCTCAGCACAAACCTGGGACGGTGATGAATAAAAAGAGGAAAGAAGAGACGATATATATGGGATAGGTTGCTGGCATTTTGTTGAATGAATCACCTTCAGAAATGGGAGGTTTGAAAGTGGAGCAATAAGGGATACTATATGATGTATGCTGTTGTTTATTACAGGTTAAAATTTAGTCCCCTATTAAAACAAAAAACGTGAAAGAAGAAAACAATCATATAGTGATGTATTGGGGTTGAGCCCCATTTGTTAATGACTTGTGATTTTCAAAAGGTTCTGAAGTTGACCTTTCAACCGCTGCATTGAGCAGAATGGAACAGACGTATACAAGTTGCAAAGTAGAAAACGTACCAAAAGAGACAGGGATATGATCGTGATTCTCTCTGCGATGTGAACAAATGGGTACGTCAATTGGAAATAAAAAGAACAGTTGTCAGGGTTGGTCATGGCCCAAAATGAAAATAAAGAAGACTTTTAAAGCTAGATTGCCACTTCTCTGTCATTTTTGTAGCATATAATCTAGATAGGTAAGAGCGCCACAGGAGAAAGAAGGAAGGGCGGTGTTCTTAAAATAAATGCAAGGCATATATCGGGCCCTCTAACCTTCAGAATATCGAACTCTCAGACCTTACTGTAAATACCAATGATACTTTTTTTCGAATCTTCATTAAAAAAAAACGACGAAGGGAGAGTAAAGGTACGTGAGTCAACGATGCGGGAGCGTAAAGAGATGACCCCGTTTGTGCGAAGACTGGCATAAACAAATTAAGCCTATCTTAATAACATAAAAATATTACCTCATAACTGTCAAACGGCCCTGAAAATTAAAAATAGACAGTATTCTATACATTGAACTTAAATTGGACCTAAAATAAAAAAGGTATCATAGGCTACGTACTGTACATGTACTGTACTAGGCGGGGTCTTGATAAGAACGCCTGTAAGAAAGATTCAAGTTCCACAAATATTTTAATACTCTTATGCAACATATAAAATTATAAAATATTAAATGAAAAAGTGTCAAAGAGTAGGTCTACGAAATTGTTAAAACTTGTTGACATTCACATTTTTTTTCAATGTCATATTCACATTAATTGTCCATATCGTCCCCTTTTTATCATGCATCAAGTGAAGGCCGAAGTCCTAAAGGTTGAGTACCCCCCCCCCCCAAAA